TTGTTAATATATAATTTCTATTTTTTTCCAAATATTCAAACATGGTATCAGAGCCGAGCTAGGGTTTATTTTTCCCGACCGCACCGCCGCCTGATTTCACTGTCGACCATCGGTCACCGGATGACAATGCCGCCACCATCACCATCGCCTCTTATACTTACTGTTGATGGTACCTCTATGCGCATTACCCATACTGGCCATATATCATCCCCACACTTCGATGATGTTTATGTCATACCCAAATTAGCCCTAAACCTTGCATCTGTCGGTCAGTTGGTTGAGCAGGATCTTACTGTAATTTTCTCTTCTTCTAGAGTGCAGGTTCAGAACACGCAAACATGTCAGATACTTGGCACGACTCGCAAGACCGTCTGCCTATTTGAGCTTGACCACATTCGCCCTCGCCGGACACTATCTCTTTTCGCTGCAGTCTCTCATTCCTTTTCCTATCACTGACACCTCAGACTTGGTCATGCCTCCCTATCTAAACTCAAGTCTCTTGCAAATACAAATGTTTTGGGTATAGTTCGTTTTGAGTCTTTTGATTGTGTGCATTGTAAACTTGGAAAACAACTAGTTTTACCTTTTTTGAACAACTTGTCTATTGTTGATAAACTTTTTTCGTTTAGTATATTTTAACATTTGGGGGCCCTCTCCTGTTGCTGCTCTTAATGGGTTTTGTTACTTTGTACTTTTTATTGATGATTACTCTCGCTTTACTTGGATTTCCTTTATACATAAGCGGTTTGAACTTGTCTCCATTTACTCTGCATTCACTAAAATGGTGCAAACTCAGTTCTCGTGTCATATTCAGACTTTTTGCACTGACAATGCCTTCGAATATAATGATTTTGCCTTTCTTAGTTTTTTGTCCACACAGGGTACTCTTGTAGAGCGTTCTTGTCACTACACATCTTAGCAAAAATGATAGGGCAGAGCGCAAACATCGTTATATATTAGACACTGTTTGAGCTATGTTGTAATGTTTCAGTTGTCCAAATCGGTTTTGAGGTGAGGCTGCTCTTACTGTTTATAATATTAACCTCTTATCCTCTTTTGTACTTCAAGATACCACACTTTTTGAGAGACTCTTCCGCCAAGTACCTTATTACTCTCATCTCTATCCTTTTGGTTGTGTCAGCTTTGTTCATCTTCTTCTTTATGAACAAAACAAATTAGAATCACACACCCGTCTGTGTTGTTTTCTTGGGTATGAGATAGAACATAAAGGTTATTGATGTTGGGATCCTATTTTGAATCATCTACATATCTCTCGGGATGTTAATCTTTGGGAGCATAAGTTCTTTTCCTCTGAATCTACATTTTCCATTCCCTTTGAGTTATAGTCCCTGTTCTTTGTTCTGGATTCACCTCATCCTTTTGCAGGTCCTGAACCCCTATCCATTCCTGATGGTCTGTATGATGCTGATCCTTTTCCCATCAGCTGACCAACCTGCGCCTTCTAAACCTATGTCTGATCCTCCGGAAATTACAGTTCTTTCCGCCACTGATCGGGGACCCACCCGTGTAAGTCGTCCTCCCTCTCATCTACTTGATTATCATTGATTTTCTGTCATTTTATCTCACCATGAACCCAGGACCTTTCGTGAGACGAACTGTGATCCCTTGTAAAGTGACACTATATATGAAGAATTGCAGGCTCTTGAGAAGACTGACACGTGGGATATCGTCGATCTCCCTCCTAGCAAGAAACATATTAGCTGCAAGTGGGTGTACAAGATCAAAACTTATTCCAATGGTTCTGTTGAGCGCTACACGGCTCGCCTTGTAGCCAAGGGTTTCTCGCAGGAGTATGGTATTGATTATGAGGAGACATTTGCTCCAGTTGCTCTCTTGACATCTATTTGTTGTCTTCTTGTTGTGCCGTTGTTTGATGTTGGAAATTATTATAGTTGAATGTAAATCATGCATTTTTTCATGAAGATTTGTTTGAGAAAGTCTACATGATCCCTCCACCTGGTTCAGATTTTTCAGAGAAGGTATGTAAGCTACGCCGTGCCCTTTATGGACTGAAGCAGGCACCCCGAGCTTAGTTCGCCAAGTTTAGTGTTGCGCTCATTCAGTATGGCTTTTCTGCATCTCCCTATGACTCTGCTCTCTTTATTTGTCGTTCTCCCACGGGGATCATCATTCTCTTGTTATATATGGATGACATGGTTATTACCGGATGATACTTCTGGTATATCTGATCTATAGACCTACCTTAATTGACACTTCGACATGAAGAGTTTTGGTTAGCTCCGTTATTTTCTCGGACTTGAGATTTCTGACTCTCCGGATGACATATATCTATCTCAGGCGAAATATGCATCTGATCTCATATCTAGTTCAGGTCTGACTGATAGCCAGATTGCATCCACCCCTCTCGAGGGGAACTACCGACTTGCTCATTTCGACGACACTCCACTAGAGGATCCCTCCCGCTATCGGCAATTGGTGGGATCCCTGATCTATTTGACGGTCACTCGCCCTGACATAACTCATACGGTTCATGTTGTTGCTCAGTTTATGACTAATCCCTGGACAGTTCACTATGCTGCATTGTTACACATCATTTGTTATGTCAAGGGAACACTCTTACATGGTCTTCACTTTTATGTTGACTCTCCATTGGTTCTTGCAGGTTTTTCTGATGCTGATTGGGCAGGTGATCCGACTGATTGTCCTTCCATCACATGTTATTCTTTTTTTCTTGGGAGTTCCCTCATTCCTTAGCGCAACAAGAAACAAAATCTCGTTTCTCGCTCCAATGCAGAGTCTGAATATCGTGCTCTTGCTGATTCGACTTCAGATTTTCTTTGGTTTCGTCAACTTCTTTCTAATATTGGGGTCCCTCAGCTTTCTTCTACTTCCCTCCATTGTGGTAGCACGCACGCAATCCAGATCTCTCATAATGATGTCTTTCACGAGCGCACCAAGCATATTGAGATTGATTGCCACTTTGTTCGTCAGCATGTTCGTGCATGTATTGTTCATCTATCTCCTGTCTCTTCCGAGGATCAGACTGCGGATATCTTTACAAAGTCCCTCTTCCTAGGCCGGTTCTCCACATTGTTGAGCAAACTCAAATTGGTTTCTACTTTACCACCTTGAGTTTGAGGGGTGTTAACATATTTTTTATATATTGTCATTTGGGGCCATATATATATATCTATATATATGCACATTCGAACTCTTTTTTTTTTTTTTTTCGTTAATATACAATTTCTATTTTTTCGCAATTATTCAAACAATTTTAATTATTATGTGAGTACATAAAAAAAATATTATTTTTATTTATTTTGTTTATTCATGCTAAATAATACATGGTAAATTGTTTTTTTAGTCCCATAATTGGACATCTTTATCATTTTAGTTCCGTAAGTGGAGCCTGTCGTAAACTAGTCTCATAAGTGGAAAATTTTCGTTGTTTTAGTCCTCCGGTGCCGGAGACGCCCGCGTGGCTCGCTGGAAGCCACGTGTCCGCCAGATCAGTGACACTGGGACACATGGATTTTTTATTTTTTATTTTTAATTTTTTTAATTGGACCAAAATTTTTTTTTTAAAAATTTAAAAACTTAAAAAATAAAAATAAAAAATAAAATCCACATGTCCGCCAGGTGTCGCTGACCTGGCGGACACGTGGCCTCCGGCAAGACATGCGGGTGACTCTGACGCCGAAGGACTAAAACAACGAAAAATTTTAACTTATGAAACTATTTTGCGACAGGCTCCACTTACGGGACTAAAATGATAAAGGGGTCCAGTTACAAAATTAACAAAATAATTTACTCAATAATATATTATTATTTTAAAATATTATAGAATATAATACGATGAAAAAGTATAATTTTATTTTTTCAATATATGAAATATTTAATGAAATGGAAAAAGTGGAGATTTTAGGTGATTTTTTGAGTATGTTTACTTTGTATTTTTTGGTTAAATATATTTCTTTTATGTCAGATATAAAAAATTATGTTGGTAATATAAAAAATAATATTTTGTGTCTATTTGTTAATTTTTTTTTGTAGGTGAATAGAATTAAATTCCCAAAATCCCAATTCAAAGTACCATTTTTCTCATTTGTGTTTGTTCCACTAAAAGAATTACTATTTTTATATTTTAGTAGAAATAATTATATACTAATATCAAAATATTCTTAATTTTTACTTAAATTACAAATATACTATTACATATACAATTACTAAAAAAAATGTCAAAAATTCTTTCACACACTCCCAGTAACTAATAAAATTAATAAAATATAAAAAATCTCTTAATCTATTACAAAACTTTAAAAATACAAATGAAGTATATATATACTCCCTCCCTCCGTCCCATATCTATAAATCTATTTATTTTTTGTATGAAGTTTTAGAAATATTAGTATTATATTAGGATGTAGTAAAAATAAAGGTAAAAAGAGCTAAACTATCCTTATTAGTATTGTATGATATAAAATTAATGATATTTGTGTAATATATTGTAAATTAGAAATGTATTTTTAATGTTAAGTTGATACTACAGTTACTAAAAAACAAAATAACATACTTTGTTATGAAACGTACTAAAATAAAAAAAAAATAAAAATAGATTGTTAAAGGAAGGAGGAAATATATTATATTAATATGTAGATATTATATTTTTATTTTTGTTATTATTTTTATAATATTTATGGATGAACACACCCTTTGATATGAATGCGAAATCTAATCGAAGTTTTTGTAATGTGAAATCGAAACAAGCTGACATACCACATTAAAGAGATTGGGGTGAGTTTCTTCCCTGCGGATGTCCGTATTACATGCACCTGGATTTGCTGTCATGAAGACGTGGCAATACGTGATTCGGTGTACCATGTCATTGTGACATCGCCGTTACTCCTTTGGTCAAAAAGAAATGAAATCCATATTTATATAATCAGAATTATATTTGTAGTATTTTTTACTACTAAAAGTGACTTTACCCCAAAAATATGACAAAAGAGCGCGGCTGAGTAGGTACAACTGAAAGTCCACGAGGTACAACGATATAATATCAGACTCGCTGCAGCATATTGGAACACTATCTCCACGAGAACAATTTTGTCAAAACCCTCCTGCGCAGGTAGAAGCGTGTAACGGAAACATGTCGAGGTCGTCGGTCCGATTGGTCACCGCCATTGTAACGTTTTTCTTAGTCTCATCGGCGTTTGCGGACGATGATGTTGTTGTGCTGACCGAGGAGAATTTCGAGAAGGAGGTGGGCCAAGATCGCGGAGCTCTCGTGGAGTTCTATGCTCCTTGGTATGGATCGATATTCATGCTAACACATAGTTTCTATGAATTTTGTTAACTGGTGTTTACAATTGTTGTTTATTCTTTTTTTTTTTGTTATTCTCTCTGTTGCCAATTAGATTGTTGAGTTTTATTTTTGTATGCCTAAGCGATTGAGTAGATCTCTTGCTTCTGAATCTGAGTTCACTAATCTAGATCTGATGCGATCGAAGTTTTTCTTTAGCAATTCCTTATTACTAGGTACCTGTTCGCATTGTTTTGCGCTGAAGCATATGAAAAACAGCCTGAACTTTCGAAGATTTAATTATTGCAGGGATTGAAACGCTTTTTCCTATATTCAATTAGAAATTTGCTATTGTATAAGCAGTGGAGTCATCGAATTGGTGTGAAGGAGCTGTTTTGACTAGTTGTAGTCTTGCAGAGCTTTCTGGCATGCTTACTGATTCTTGCTGCCGCTGCTAGATTCTAGTTAAGATTCGTTATTTTTCTTCTTGTCCAGGTGTGGCCACTGTAAAAAGCTTGCTCCCGAGTATGAAAAGCTAGGTGCGAGTTTCAAGAAGGCAAAATCTGTTTTGATAGGCAAGGTTAGAAATCTTAATCTTATATTACTATGTTGGTTGCCTTTTCATGCCATATTTTTCGGTAATATTAAGTAGCATATGGGTTGTGTTTGAGTTTCCAAAAGGCAAGAGCACCAAGTTGAAAAGTTTTCATGCTTCAATGTTTGAAGTAACACATGGCGGCTGTGAACTTTATCAACTCATTATTCATTACTATGCATGCAAAACAAAAGATTATGTTTTTAAAATGCTTAATGTACTTGTAACAGTCTCCATAAATTTTTGCTGTGTTGATAGACATAAGATATTCTTGTTCGTATTTCTGGAACAAATATTCTGTTTTCTTTCTGATAAATTTTTATTTTTTGTTTTATAGAATTGAGTCTATTTCTGGTAGTTGTGTTTGGTAATCAAGTAAACTTCCTTATGATAATAATCTCTTGAGATAATAATTGGATATTACTTAGACTGATCACCCTGGCATAATATATATTTTTCTTAATGCAATTTGTAGTTTAATTAGGCTATCCCTGAATCTTGCTGTTGTACAAAAAATATGTTTCGGATTTGTATTGAATATTAGTTCTATAACAAATTTATGAGATGTGCGAGTGACTTACTGATTTCTATTCATAACTTAGCCGAATACACAATCAATTCCACATTCGTTATTTTACTGTAGGTTGATTGTGATGAGCATAAGAGTCTTTGCAGTAAGTACGGCATTTCTGGATATCCCACCATCCAATGGTTTCCCAAGTCATCACTGGAGCCAAAAAAGTAATTTAAATTCATTTGGAAACCATTTACCTTTTCAAATGTGTCTATGTATTTTAAAAGAAGTTTAACAATGGAGATGTGTTAAATTAGCACTGACTTCCCTATCCTTTTGTAGGTACGAAGGTGCACGAACTGCTGAAGCCCTTACTGAATATGTTAACAGTGAAGGAGGTAGGCATGCTATTTGGTTTATTTTATGTGAATTATGATATTATTATGATTATGCAGTTGCCGTTGACAGAAATGGTATGGTTGAAAAGCCTAGTATATTTGTATCTGCTTGGTTAGATACAACTGCGCTCCTTTGTTTCATGATGTTCTCATATGTTCTTGCCCATTTCTTGTAAATTATGATCTGTAGGGACCAATGTCAAGATAGCTGCCATCCCTTCTGATGTTGTAGTTTTGACTCCTGAAAACTTTGATGAGATTGTCCTTGATGAGAAAAAGGATGCCCTAGTTGAATTTTACGCACCTTGGTAAGCAAATGTTGAAAATTCCTTCATTTATATCCTTAATGCTTCATCAAAAGGTCTGGATGCACGCTTTTGACATACCTTAGTCATAGTGCAGCTTTAAATAGTCTTGTATGATGATTAATTTGTTCTCATACTCCGTTCTTTGTCCTTCTAGGTGCGGTCACTGCAAGAACCTTGCTCCTGTAAGTGTGTCACCGGCTCGTTAGATAAATTGATGTAAAAGCTGAAGTAGTTATATTAAGTATCTCAACTGTATCCTATTTCTCAATGCAGACCTATGAAAAAGTTGCCACGGCATTCAAGCTTGATGAGGATGTGGTTATTGCAAACATTGACGCCGACAAGTACAGGGATCTTGCTGAAAAGTAAGTCATACTGAACAATTCTCTACCTATATTACACTAAGTCATACAGAAGAATAATTCAAGTTGGTTGGACATAAATCTGAAATATTGAGAAATCTATTCTCCAAGAGCCAATATAATCTCTAAGGCAAACAATGAAGGAATATTTTTTCATGCAATCTATATTGCGAAGCAGGTATGGTGTAAGTGGTTTTCCGACATTGAAGTTCTTCCCCAAGAACAACAAGGCAGGTGAAGACTATGATGGAGGAAGGGATGTGGACGACTTTGTCACATTCATCAATGAAAAATGTGGGACTAGCCGAGATGCAAAAGGACAATTGACTTCAAATGTCTGTACCGCGCACAGCTCCTATTGTTATTCCATTGATTTTCCAGTTCTAATTATATTTTCTTCTTCCCTCCTTAGGCTGGTATTCTCGAGGACCTTTCTAACTTAGTGAAGGAATTCGTTAGCGCATCAGGTGAGGACAAAAGACTTGTCTACAAACGGCTGGAGGAAGAAGCTGACAAGTTACAGGGTTCAGCTGCAAGGTCTTCTTGAATGCCATGTGATCGATGCCTTTCTTATTGTGTTTAGTTACACTTAATGATAACTGTTTTGTCTTGTCTTGTCTTTATAGCACAAGAAAACAAGCATACATAGTATCTCTGCTGTTACAAAGCTTTTGTTTTCAACTTCTTTGCAGATATGGGAAAATCTACACGAAAGTTGCCAAGAGGTGCATGGACAAAGGCTCAGATTATCCCAAGAATGAGATTAGGCGGCTTGAGAGTATACTTGCCAAGGTAACTACTTATGATCTTATTCACTCTTCTTATGTAGTAGTATTATTAATCTTCTTTCTCTCTGTGTGGGTGTGGGTGCAGTCGATAAGCCCAGCAAAGGCAGACGAGTTCACACTGAAGAAGAACATCTTGTCGACTTTTGTGGTCACAGACCAGTGAGGGCACACTTTCCATCTCTCTTAATTTGCACCTTCAGGCACCACAGATTTTGGGATCAAGAGATCTGGAGAGAAAGTCAGTCGTGAGTGGTTTGTTTGTGAGGTTAACAACAGAATAATAGAATAGAATACAGATATGATGATTCCAACCATCTTTTTACTCAAAGGGACAAGAAAGAAATCGAACAGAGAATTAAAGTATTGTTTAACATTGTTGTAATATTCGACTCCCTCCCGGAATGTCAATCTTTAATTATCTAAACTGAATGCTGACATTTATTTGAGCTTGATGGGCTATATCATATATCATATATATAAACATATATCTATACTTAATATATACGAAGCTGTACTAATGGTCACTTAATATGTTTGCTTTGCCCTTGATATTTGTACTTATTATTGGTTTTGCAATGGAGCTCGAGTACTCCATGGATCGGCAGTTGAATTTACTCTTTTTTCTCCTTCCAGGTCATTGTAGGTTACCTAAGGGCACCCAATCGACTGCCCCACTCCGGTTCCTTCTCATTCTCTCTTTTGTGCAATGTCAAGTTTCTCTCTTCCACATTGCTAAGTATCTTAATTAAATTTTACATTCATATTAAAAAATCCCTAAAATTTCTATATTTTTCACATCATTAAATATTTCATATTATTAGAAAAGAAATTTATATTTTTTCATGATATTTTATTTTTATAATATTTAATAAAAAATAGAACTATTATAAAAAATAGAACTATTATTTTGTCTTAAAATAATATTTTATGTATCATACTTACATAATTAAAATTTTAAATTCAAATTTAACAACATAATACATAATATTATAATATGTCGATTGACTAAACTTTCTCCAAATGTGTTCAACTAAATCTATTTTGAGCTGTTGGTGTGTTTTTCTAGCTCAGAGTCGCATTCTGTTTTGTAGGTATTGATTTAATAGTTACATGCCTCGTATTATTGTATGACAAATTCGAGTTGTCATTTATTTTCACTTGGTCATATTGGGATGTATCGTAATAATGCAGGTAAGTATCCCTCTCATCTTTTACAATTATATTATGTAATGTGATGCATAGTCTCGTTATTTTACCTAGTAAATAGATATCTCAAATAAGTAATGGAGCTTTAATGAAGGCAAATCGAACTTGTAATACACCAAAGACACGTTCCACATCTTTTCAAACTGTTTCTTGGCGTTGCACAAATAATTATGCTTTGTAACCTTGAGACAAAAGAATTGATTGAACAAAAGTTGCCCACGGAGGGTAAATTTCATCAGTAAGATAATATCCCATATTATATTGATGGTAGTTGATAACAAAATTAACCTCTGGAGCTCTACCATTCAAAATTTCGTTCAATACCCGAGATCTCTCAAGTACATTAATGTCATTGCATGTATCTAGTGTTCCAAAAAATGCATGCTAAATCCACAAATTGTAGGATGCTACAACTTCCAATAAACTGTGGATTTTCCATGATCTCCACGTTCGAATTGCCCCTTCTAAGCAATCGGAAAATTTTTCCATTCTCAATGCATACAATTAATACTTCCTAGCATGCCCGGAAAACCACGTGTCTCTGCAACAAATAATAATTGTTGCACATTAGTAGATTTTGGTCGTAGATATTCCTCACCAAATAGAGAGCATATCCCTTCAACAAATTGAATTACATATGCTCTTACGGTGCTCTCTCCAAGACGAAAATATCCATCAAGAGTATTAGAAGCCGTTCCGTATGCCAATACACGTAGCCCAGCGGTGCATTTTTGTAATGATGACAATCTATCTCTTCCTGTAGCATCAGGTCGTGTGAAAGAACTCTATTTCATTTGAAAGACGATCTACGATGTGAAGAAACACGTTTGATCATTCGAAACCTACTACGAAAATAAGAACTTGAATACACAGGGTTATCAGAAAAATAATCATTGAATAATCGAGTGTGGTCATCTTTACGATTCCTCTCTATGTAGGTTCTCCATCGACGTTGCCGTGAGATTCCCTCATCTACATTATTAATACACTCAATCTCTTGATAAAATTGAGCATATATTTCTCCGAATTGGTATATATTTTCGAACTCTTCGTCGGATGAATCGGACAAAGATAAGGATAGGGTGGACATTTGTTTAAGAGAAAATAAGTGTATTTAAAAATATGAGAGAATGTGTATTATGTGTGTTGAAAGTGGATTGTATTTGTTTTGGTTGATGTTGTTTGCAGATAGTCCGATCAATGGATGAACAGTGATGGATAGACGCGACCCAATTTGTCTTGAGTCCAATCAAACAAGGAAATAGCCCAAATTCATCAATCCAATGAAGACCCAAAGGAATGGATAGAGAAAACTCGTTGGTCCCCCGATATTCGGGAATAACAAAAATTGGTTGCAACTAACTTTGTGAAGGTAGGGAGAGATAGTGCAGAAAAAGATTCCATTCTTGTTGAGTTTGTTAGAGTGAATATACTTATGTTTGGAGATTGAGCTTTATATAGAATATAAAGTGAAACAAGATAGATTTGGGGGAGCACATAGAAAAATTTGAATGTAATTCATCTAAAGAAATAATTGAGTGAGAAAAAAAAAAACATTGAGGGTGAGGGGTGTGTGGGATAGGTTGAGTACGGGAAATCGTGAAGAAATTGGTTGATGTATTACATTATGTCACTCAGCGAAGAAGCTTGGGATTAAGTTGTTCATGGTTAGACTCCTCCTCAGAAGACCATTATGATTAATCCGACAGGGAAATGAGATGATAAGATGAAACTATAATTGTGGAGAAGCCCAGGATTGAATTCACTCTTGAAGAAAAAGATCGTTGCAATGCTAACTAAAAAACGATCAGTGTTATCATTAGTGGAGTGGATCTTTCGCTATTCGAGATTGTGTCTACCTGCACTACTGCTAAGGAAACATGGGATGCGTTGATTGAAACTTTTGTATGGGATGTGAAAGTTAAGAAATCTAAACTTCAGACGGTTGAAAGAGAGTTCGATCGTTTGTTCACGAGGGAAGACGAATCCATTTTTGAATATAAAAAATGTTTCAAGTCTTTGGTAAGTCAAGCACATCAGCTGGGTCTGAAATATGATGAGAGGAGGTTGGTGGACAAACTGATGCGAACATTATCTGAGAAATTCGCAGTGAAAGTCACATCTCTAGAAGAGTTGGATAAAATGGACACAATGTCACTGAATGGGCTTATTAGAATCTCGAAGACTTATGAGATAAATCTTTTGGCATCTAAAGCTCAACGCGAAGTTGCTATTACATCCGAAATTGCTGCTGCTGAAGACAATAATGAAAAACTTGCTCTCATCACAAAATGAATAGCTCGTATAATTCAGGATAAGAAGGCCAGACAGTTGAAACAACAAGGATATTAGATAGGCAGTCCCAACACAGTCGGAACAAATGACAGACACTCTGTGCAGAATGTTCAAAATTTTGGTGCCCCCACTAAGGCTAGTATTCAAAAGGGTGATGGGTCTAAGATGGTTAAAGTGTCGAAGAAATTAGGCATACCGGATGACGTCATATGTTATGGATGCAATGGGTATGGGCATGTCAGGGCTGAGTGTCCAGCTGCCAAGAGAAAAGATAAGAAAGCAATGAGAGTTACATGGAGTGACGATGAAATCGAGGAACAAGAATCTGTCCAAGAGAAACAAGCAAATATGGAGGGTGAATTGGTTGCTTTTAATATACAGGATGATGAGAAGAAATAGGCAAAAGAGGATGTTGAATTCACTGAAATGAGTTGTGAAGAACTGGTTGAGGCGTATTATGTGCTGGTTGCTGAGCATACAGTCTTGGTTGTGCAAAATGGCAAGTTGAAGGCCTGTGTTATGAGGCTAGATAAGAAGATTGATGTATTAATGAAAGTGAATGAAAGATTAGCTGAAATTAATGATGAACTTTCTATTAAAAATGAAAATTTTCAAGTCTCGAATGAACATTTGGAGAAAATCAGCAAGATGGAAAAAGAAAATTAAGACCTACTAAGTGAAATCAATTGATTGATGAAAGGGAAACAAAAAATTGATGAAGAATTGAATGCTGGGAAGCTATATGGTGATCATAGTGGGATTGGCTACACGTATGAGGCTGGAACTTCTCAAACAACGTTTGTCAATGATGGATTACTGTCTGAATCAACTGGTAACAAGGAAGGTGGTAAACTGACTGCCATTTTGGAACCCTCTGAAAATTGAAGGAATGTCTGGCGGTCGAGCAAACAACTATCAAACTGCAGGTATTGCAAACAATCTGGACACCAAGAGTTGGAATGTGATCGAATCAGACAAGATTTATGGCTGGGCAGAAAAGTATTTTGTCCATCAAAATAATTGAAGAACAGAACTATGGCGAGACTAGTGTGGAGACCTAAGGTGAATCAAGAAGCATGTCTAGTTTCTCTCTCTACGCAGAACATTGGAATAGAGTCCGTTAATGTGAACTGCCACAATGAATTGTCTGAGGTAAGAAGTCAAAATTCAAGTGATGACGAATTAGAACTGAAGCAGGGCACATAGGGATTGAATTTTATTGATGTAAATAAGGGGGAGTCAGTTGTGTTTGGACATCACATGAATAACCCCATGGGAGCAGCAATCTTAAACCATCAATAAAAATTCTCACCAAAGCCAACAAGAAGCATTCACAAGAGCATATCTTTGGAGATGCTCATTGTCGCATATCTGAAATCAAACTGAACAATGTTGTTGAAGGTTGAAAAAATAGAGTATACAGTCTTGATCATGTGCAGACAACAAAGCAACTGGAAGACATTCAAATCAAAGCCTTGAATTCGAATAAATGTAAAGAGCTACAACAGAATCTTTATATGTGCTTCTTGCAGTAATGGGTGTTGTCTTGGAAGAGTGGTCGAGCACGAAAGTGTATCTGTGCAACAAAAAAGGTCATTGTCCTAATCAAATGAGTATGTATGGTATTAAAAGTTTGGGCGCATACTTCTGGAGGTACATGCTTACTCTATTTTGGAGGAGATAATCCATTTAGGCAAGGTGTTTCGAGATGTGTGTTAGTCTACTAAAATTGTTTGGAAGAGATGTTCTAGGTGTTGGCGAAATCAATTAGGCAGATGAGGTGCCCGGGATGGATGAAGAGGAGTTCGATAGTTCAATGGATTGACATTCCTTTTTAGATTGTTGTTCTCGAAATGGGGAGAAGAAGTTGCCGTCATTCATACATTTTGGTTTGTTGTTAGTATTTGAGGACAGCTACCGCCAGAGATTGTCTTGATCAACTGAA